CCTCTTCTTCCAAAAATGTCGATCAAAGCGAAAGCCGAAACAAGAAAGGATAAAACAACAGTGGAAATTGCTTTATAGCATAAAATTGATGACATTTAGTATTAGTTGGTGCGACTTGTCTTCTAGTATGAATGGTTGACTGGAAACACGGGAGAACACGACAAAAAACTGACAAGAATAACGTTATAATTGTCGTTTCTGAGACGGTGTGGCAGTTTTCAAAGATGTGTGTGGGGGTGTGGGTGGGTGGGTGTGTTGATCATATCAGCTCGAAGAGCAAGTTCGGCGCCTATTTAACTTGAGTTTTATTGTTTCCTATGTGAACATCGCCACGACGTGAAAGTTGGGCGACGATGCAAAAGAAATTAATTTCACTAGGTGTTGCGCTGTACAACAATGATGAATGAATCTATCCTAGACGGTAAAATGCTACTAAATGATCACATCAATCTAGTCACTTAAGACGATTTAACCTTATATCAAAAAAGCTCGGGGGACCTGGTGAGGTACTTTACATAAATCGAGAAAATTATACAGCAACGATGTGACTGGTAACGAGGAATACATGTGATCACAATCAAAAGTCCAAAATACAACTCACGAACTCACGGAGGAGCCTTTACAGATTACGATACACTGGTTCGGCTAAACAGAAGTTCGAATCTACAAAATACCTTCTATATGACGATCAAAATTTTGCACATAACTTTACGCGGTTGTCTAAGTACCCACATCCAAATTACCCGTGCAACTCGAACTGAAAGGAGTGAGTATGACAATCTTTACTGAATCAACTGACTGTAATTTGTCGAGGGCAGCGACAACTCGAGACAAAACGAGAGAAAGCAGAAAAGACCATGCTCAAACTGCCTCCAGCCGGATTTGCCGTATAAGTTCGGAAGATATTCTTGAATTGAGCGCTTTACATTTCATGGTATAAAAGATCGCCGTGAACCTGAAAATAGTGTGGGCAATTTACAGACTATACTTTTACTGCGAAAATAATTGACTGTTATAAACTCTGAAATTACTCACCTCTAATCGGATCAGGCGCATCTATTGAGAGGCCACTGAATCGCCCCCAGTGGAAGTTGCAGTCGATCTGATAGGACCTTTGTCGTAGGTAAATGATGGTGTCAAATGGTAACGTGAGTAGATGATTTTCGATTAGCGAGCAGTTCAAAGTCAGCGCTTGAGAAATTTTAGACATCAGTCAGAATTTGTTCGTGAAGCAGCCTAAGTAGTCCCGTTTTATATATTGCCTTCGGTATTTATAAAACCCAAACCACCAGATATCAGTAAGGCGGTGGTGCGGTGGTTTAGTCCCTGTCACCAGCGTGCTTCAGACTCTGTTTTCCTAGGTTCGAGCCCCGATACCACCAACCAACTTTAGTGGTAGGCAACTTCGCTGTCGTCCGGTTCAATATCACGCCTAGCCTAGCGGGCATTATGTGGTTCGCCACACCAAGTTCGGGCTTAGATTGCCGGTTTCCATCATTGGACAGCAAATCCTCGTGACTATGGGGTTTACCCCATATGCTATCCATCATACTAAGGTGTGTCATAAAACGACGGAAACAAAGAATTTAATTACCGCCACAAAATTCGATTTTTTTTAAATAGACGATGGCTTGAGGATATTACCAATGTTTTCCCCCGATCCAAGTAGTTTTAGAAGTCATCAACCGTTCTATAATCTACATTGACATATCTTCCTGAATATGTCTTTAGAACAGTGATCGAATAGAAGGGCCAAGAACTCGCTTTCAAGGTGGTCTTAACTTTCCAAAAAAGAGAAAACTTCAAACTATTGAATACCCAGGCATTAAATAGACTAATTTTACTGTCAATAGTCAATTTCTCGCACCTGTTTTAGGATTATAGGTTATTTTTCTCATAAACTAAGCGATTCCGCGTTCATATTTTTCCGGTCAACGGGATAATTCTATAAACTTGGGATGTGGTTAAACAGCTCACTGCTTCACGGCTGAATTCTCGAAAGAAAAACCTGAATAGCAAAAAACAGAGTTTGATTTACATGCTGACAGTGATGATCAAAATGACAAAATTTAGAACAGATGCTCCAAGGTCTTTACATCGATCGACACATCTTCAGTGAACCGCTTCCATCATAACTGTACAAGACAAGCGAACCGCGCAGCTTTCAAACCGTGCTGTCGATGGCATGTGTTGGTATACGCGCTTCAGAATCGATAATAGGTATCGGAATACCAGGGTTTGAAATCTGATTATGAGCAATAACCGCAAAAGAATCTAAGAGACTCTGCCCTAGAGCATTTTTAGGAAAACTGAAACTCAACCTATTTACGTATTTTGCAGTGTATGGATCAAATCAATTCGCCCAGTAACGTGATCCATTCTCGGGGTGTTAAAACTTGATAGAAAACGATAGTCGAAGAGGTAAACAAAGCACAAGTGTTCTGTATCGGGATTCTAACCGAGTCTGATGGACTTTCTGCACTCACGTGATACATGCCGGATGCTCACGGCTGGCAGCACAATGCGAAAAAGCACTATAAAACAGACAGTACACGGTTTGGCGGACCGAGTGAGAACGGGAGATAGAGAATGCAGTTGGGCCGAGAAACGCCCACTAACCATTTCACTGCATCCGAGTCACTGATGAGGAGTTTGTGGAACAATCTGTCAGATAGACCATTAATTCGAGCATACACAACCAAGCGTCTGAATGACTGCATACTCCTTGCAGTGTCTCAACAGAACCAATAGCGTAGAATTTCCATTGGAAAATCTCATCCTTCAAACACACTTTCATAATCTACAAGGGTATCGCTTGAGCAGTAAAAGGACTGAGAATGAGCCACCTTTGCGGATGCGACAGCTTACAGCATCTCACCAACGACGACTGGAGTCCAGTTTTGAACAGATGGCGATGTGCATTGTCAACCTAAAAAACTATGTTTATGATCTGCATATTCAATAGTGGAGATCAGGATGTTTATGCATAGCTGAATAACGGCGTAACCGTTTAATGACTAAATCATCCAGTCCACTGGATAGCTGAACGGTACAGAGAGAATGTTCTTGCCTTACACTCGTGCTGAGTGAGAATTCGGATGGTTCTGCGTCATACACTCCGATATGATTAAAGTTGCTGGATAGTGAGCCCTTAGGAAGTTCATTGGTGCTGTCGGTATTCTATTGTTCTTCATGATCGTTCATACAGATTCTCTATCGACACCCTATTCCGTGACGTAACATCTCTTGACTTGGTAGAATGTGAACATCTCCTTCATTGTGAAACGGGCGGGGATAATGATGGGAAAAGGTTTTAGTTGTCACAGTCATAAGACTTATACCCGTGTAGTAAATACAAGCTAATTATCTTTATCCTTGGAAACTGGAAGAATGATTGGACTGTCCCAATCAGTGGGAAACAATACCATCGATCGGAACATTGAGCCAAGAGGATCTATTAGAATGCGTAAGTAAATTCTATACACTTCCACTGAGATGATCTTGACCAGTGGCTTTCGGGCTCTATAGCTTGTTAATTTCTGTTGAAATGTTTGACGAGCTAGGTGTCTGGCAATGCAACCAATACGCATTCGATCGAGGATCCGAGCGCCTGCGTGATGTAGGTGGGTTTTCCGGTTGAAAATTGGTCGCCGCTTGTGTTGCACAATAAACCTTGTGCTGGTTGGTGCCTATTAGGTGAGGCTTAGATAAGACAAAGACAATTCCCGTAATCCCCGATGTTGTATGCAGTTGACATTTTCTTAGCGATTTCGGAAGAGTATTGATCGCTGTCTTTCGGGCATGTGGTAGACAGAATCGAAGTTTTACTGACAGCTGGCAAACACAAGCAACGGTTCGGACATTAACGAGCATAAAGCCAGGAGGAAAAAACGATTACCCAGACATTCCTTTAGATACCTACCTTCGCCAATACGACATAGGATCCAGAAGCTGAAGAACACTATCACATCACCATTGTACGGCGAAATACAATGAAGCGAACGTAACTGATCGCTGCCAAACACGGAATCAGTTTAATTTTTACAACCATTAACCATGCACTTTCGTGCGCCAGTTTTGACTGTCTTTTGGTCGTCCATTTGGTTAAAACAGCAGAATGAAGATTAGAATGTTGAAAGCGAATTCGAGCGGAGGATGGGGAATTATTATAGACTGGTGTTAAGAGAATAATGAATAAATGCATGAGCGCCATTGTTTGATACACTCAACCATATTACTCAACGTCTCCAGCAATCGGTTACCATGATCTGGTGGTCCCCATCCAGGGATCCCAACGGGACCCAGTGTCCTGGTTAGGATTTTTATACTCTCACGCCAGGTCTTAGTTTGAACACTCTTGACTAGGGGTCAGTAATCAACGGAACAACACATCATCACACCAGATCTAACGCGTCCGGCAGTTGAGGGTTCCGTCGCAATTATGGAGGCG